CGCGTCACCAAAGATGTGTGTGGCCTGCCGTTGTGATGGAAGACAATTCGGCCTCTATTAATCAAAGGTGGCCTCTTCTGCATGAGTGCTGCATTCATGCGATCCAGTTGGCTGTACAGGTTCGAATTGAGCGTTTGCCCATAGGGGAGAAGCTCATAGTGGATGATTCCCTGCCAATCCCACCAAAGGCTTGGCCACCGTCTGAGCAGCTTCACCGCTCTTTGACCACGACACACTTTTCATCGCCAGTCACCATTCGCTTCAAAAACGGGTCTTTTTTGTTGCGATTTAAGGTCAAATGTGTTTGGCGAGTAACAGGCGAAAAAAAAACAGATTTTCTGGAATTTTTTTTGGCCAAATCAAAAAGCCAATCGAAAATTTGTAAATGAGGTTTTATTATAATATATTTAAAGTACAAAATAATTTTTTTTTTAATAAATCGAAAAGAAAATGGCGGCTATGCATATGCCTTTCTTCGTAGGCCCTATTTTTTTAAATTAACGTCCTTAATTTTTGATGTAGAACAAAAAAAGAAGTTTGGTTAGTTTCTAATCATCAACAGCTATCGACACACGTAGGATTTTTGCGATATATTGATTTATTGCAAAATGCTGAATGATTGAAAAAAAGTTAACATTTTCACGAAAAAAAAAATCCAAAAAATTGTTGATAAAAAAAAAGTAAGCAATATAAAACAAGAAAGCAAAGCTAACTTTGGGCGGAGCCGAAGTTGATATACCCTTGCAGCTAAAACCGGATATATATCGGAAACATCGGATATAGTTGGCCGATCCTTATGATTACATCATAATAAAACCAATTAATTACAATAAAAACTCTAAAAAAAGTCCCAAGCTTCTATCTTCAAAAATACGAAAGTTGATATTTCTACCAAATACCATTTCCGATCGTTCAGTTATATGTCAGCTATAAGATATAGTCAACCGATCGTTATGAAATTTGGTAGATCGGATTAACTGACCAAAAATAGAATGTGTACCAAGTGCCAGCTTTCTATCATCAAAAACACGAAAGTTGGGTCATTTCCGATCGTTCAGTTATATGGCAGCTATAAGATATAGTCGGCCGATCCTTATGAAATTTGGAAAAAATAGCTCTCATGTCAAATTTGAAGTCTTTAACTCTAAAAACACTAAAGTTATACCATTTCCGATCAATCAATTTCCGGCCGTTCCGACTTATATACTGCTTGCAAAGGAAAGAAGGGTGTGTGCAAAGTTCAAGTCGATAGCTTTAAAACTGAGAGACTAGTTTGCGTAGAAACAGACAGACGGACAGACGACATTGATATGACATGCTCATATCAACTCAGGAGGTGATCCTGATCAAGAATATATATACTTTATAGGGTCGAAGATGTCTCCTTCACTGCGTTGCACACTTTTGGACAAAATTATAATACCCTCTGCAAGGGTATAAAAAATCGTGTCACGAAAAAAAAATCCACAAAATTGTTGATAAAAAAAAGTAAGCAATATAAAAAAAATCGTGTGTCGATAGACAAAGGTGTTTTGAATATACTGTCAAAATCTCAGATCGATAGCTTAAGAGTTCGATTTATGTTTCCGGCCGTCTCAAAAAAAAACGGTTTCGAGAAAAACTCGTTTAAAGTTTTAAGTACTGTGGCATATACATACCTGTGAGGCATCGCCGGAGAATGGAAAATTTCGACACTTAGAAACTTCTGCCGGACTCTATCTTTCGATATGTTATTTTTAAGACCCTAAAGAATTTTTTAAGCAGAAAAACAAATTTTCGATTTTTTAAAATTTCCCCCTTAAGGGGGGACATCTGAGTAGAATTTTGAAAAAATTGAAATTTTTGTTGTTCGCTTAAAAAATTCTGCGGCGATGCTTCACAGGTATATCCCACAGTACTTAAAACTTTAAGGGGTCACGCCACCCTGAAATTTTCAAAACATCGATTTTTTTTTTTACTTAATTTAAAAGAATATATTCTTACGCGTATTTTAAGACGTCCCCGAAGACAATATCTTGATAATTATGGAAGTTATGTTTATTTGAAGTCGGCACGGCAGGAGGGCACCTAAGACACTTCTTTTTCTTCTTTTGCGTTTTTCTCGAAACCACTTTTTTCAAGACGGTGGGCATGATAACGCAAAAACTGTTCAACCGATTGACTTGAAATTTGAAACACATCTTCTTACATGGATTTTCCACAGAGTGACGTAGGATTTTTTCGATCCAATGGATAGAAATTTGTTTATACAATTTTTAGTACGACATTTTTTGCCCAAAACATTGAGTCAAGTTTTGAAGTGCTCTCATTTGCGTAATTTTTTTTTTTCTAAAACGGCTACGTCACTCTTCCAAATTTATCACTTTTTAAAAAAAAATTTTGTTTACTTTTTTCTGATGAAAATTGACACGTGAATCATGCCCACCATCAAGGAGCACTCCGGAAAAACCCATGATCGCCGATGTTCATATCTCCGCCATTTTGAATTGAAAACAAATTTTTTTTTAGAATTTATAAAGCTCATTAGTTGTATTAAATAGAAATAAAAGTGGAAAAATCCTATCTCAACTAGTTTAGTCACAAGAAATTCCTGAAAAACCGTCCCGTTTCCACGCGGTCAGGGTGGCGTAACCCCTTAAACGCGTTTTTCTCGAAACCACTTTTTTTGAGTTGGCCGAACACATAACTCAAACAACTCTTAACCTATCGATCTAAAATTTTGACAGTATACTCAGAATACCTATGTCTATCGACACACGTAGGATTTTTTTACGTTTTTTTTATTTTGCTTACTTTTTTTTTTATCAACAATTTTGTGACGTTTTTTGTTCGTGAAAATTGAAAATTTTGTTCAATCACTCACTATTTTGCAAAAAATCAAAATATCGAAAAAATCCTACGTGTGTCGATAGCCGTTGAGATACAAAAACTAGATCAAAAATTAGGGACGTTAGGTGTTCGGCCATGGACCCCCTTTAAAAAAATAGGGCCTACGAATAAGGGACGCAGGGCCGCCATTTTGTTTTCGATTTATTAAAAAAAAAATTTTATTTTGTACTATAAATATAATATAATAAAACCTCATTTACAAATTTTCGATTAGCTGTTTTGATTTGGCCAAAAAAAATTCGAGAAAATCCGCTTTTTTTTGGCCTGTTACTCAGATGTCCCCCCTTAAAAGGGTTTAGCTCCTCAATGGTCGGGCTGCCCTCTCGGTTCTCTAGAGCTTTAGGATCGCAATTTGAATTCGGACCGCACTCGTACATTTTGTCACTGCTTAGACCCATAAACTGGTTTATCGTAAATTCATCGAGTTTTAAATACATGCAGAATAAATAACTAATATGTTTTAAAAACCTAATTTCGACCTTTTTTTTTTGAGTGGATTATTGTTATTGAAAAACCTCAATGACCATGTTGGAAATATGATCAGAAAATATGAGTTATAAATCTAATAAGACTCCCAGATCGTTGTCCTGGGTTCATTTTCTAAAGCGCACCAATGGGAATGTACATAACCTAGTGTGGACTAGATCGTGTTTGTGTTAATGTTTATAAATGTATTTTTTTTATAATGGTAATAAACACCATTTTTGAAAGTTATCCAAATCCGAATAAAGTCTAGAGTGCGCACAAGTGAATTTATATCAGTGGTCGGCCCGGCCCTATTCTGAGGGCATAGGAAAGTTCTCTGCCCGAGCTCTGCCACACACACACAGTATAAATGTGTGAACCGTCATGCTCACAGCCTACTCTTTGCTATTCGTTATTAATACTAATGCGTTAAAATCATATCAATGTATAGGTATGTAGTCTAAGGAGATATGCAGTCAAATCTCAAGAAAATCTATCACATAGCGTGAAATCATGATTTGAGTGATATTTTCGATATGCATAAGTATTAGTAACGAAAAGCTAAAAGTAGGCTGCGATCATGACGTTTCATACTTTTGTACTTGGCTGGAGAAATATAATAATCCATAACCACAAAAACGAGTTCACCTCAAAGCACCTTTTTTTCGAAGACGTTACCTACAACGTCTGCAGAATTTTGTAATCAAAGTTAAATTTACTTAAAACGAAACACAAATACAGCATTCGACCTCAGGAATTTTTTTTGTAGACCGTTTTGCCGAGTGACATGTCAACACATCACTGTCTGATGTTCTTAGATGAAAATGTTTTCTGGCCAAAAACTGGATGAACAACTACTCGTGTTAAAAATCAGCACGGGCACACGAATCTGGAAAGAAGACGAACGCCTAATATATTTATATCCTTGCAAAGGGAATTATAATGGTGGAACGCTCTGGACATAACCATGGTTTTAAACAGAATACGCCTACAACACAACAACCTCCCAGCCTAGTAATAATACTAATTTAGGCACAGAATAAATTAAAAAAATTTTATCCAGAAAGTTCAAAATTTTGAAAATTAAATCATAAAATTTTAGATGAGTTTCAATTCTTGCTCCTTGAAGTTTAATCCTTGCTCTCACTTAACAATTAACAACAAATGGTTGTTTATTAAAATTGGATTGAATAATCTGTTTTACATATTGATATTTTTTTTTTAGTTCATGCCGATTATTTTTCAATTTCACTTTCGTATTAAGTCTTGTGAATGTTCAAAGCAAGTCAGTTATTTAAACGCAATGAGTACTACAAACTATAAAAAAAAAACCAAAAAGGACGGCTTTTGTCGAGTTTCCCGACTATATTATATCCGGTACTCATATCTTCCACCCACAATTTGACTAACCGTTAAAGTTTAAACTGAAAAGGTATGGATTCTCAGCAACAAATTTTTGTTGCTTACTTTTGAAACAACTTGGTCGCTTATTTTTATTGACTTTATTCGCTTGTCCTTTCCTTTAAAAACTAGTGTACATACAAACCAAACCTGTTTTCCATAAAACCTCAGATTTAAAACAGATAAAAAATGTATTTAATTTATAATATGTTTTTATATAACAAAGTGTTAATTTTTTGTTTTAGAATTCCCATAGCGTCGAATAAAAATGTATTGGAATGTTCGGATGCTTCTTTATCTTGTAAGTAAATATTCTTTTTTTTATTTTTATCAGTAATTTAACAAAAAATATATATTTATAATAATACAGGGTGACAATAAATAACCCGGACAAACTTTGAAGCAATCTATTATAAATGTATTATGATGCAGCCCTTAAATAAATGCATTTATCGATAGCTTTTACTTTTCTGAAACAAATATATTTACATTTTTGTGATTCCCATCCATTTGATATTTCTTTCGGGATGTCTAACAATCGTTGTGCAATTTTAAAACTGTTTCAACATGGAAATCGCCAATGCGACATTGTTCGTTTGCTTGGCATACCAAAACAAACGGTCTCTGACGCTATCCGGCGATTTAATGAGCTTGGCCATGAAGGTGACCGTCCCGGACGAGGCAGACTATGTACCGCTAACACTTCCAGAATTCGCCAGATAGTGAAAAAGCGGATCACTCGGAATTGCAGAGTCTCGGTCAGAAAAATAGTTCGTGAAATCGGAGTGAATCGAGAAAGTGTTCGGTTGATAGCAAAAAATGAGCTTAATCTCAAGCCCAACAAGCTCCAAAAAATGCATCTTCTTACGGATGACAATAAGTGCGTGAGACTCCAAAGATGCCGTCAGCTAAAGCGTCGGGCCGCAGCTCAAAAATGGGAGCGTGTTCTTTTCACGGACGAGACATCCAACAGGCGCACAATCACAAAAATTACAGAAGCTGGTCTGCTAAAGCTCCAGGTACCTCTAAAATTATAGAGCGCCGTCAATGTGAGCAGTCTTTAATGGTTTGGGGAGGAAAATGCGCCACTGGCAAAACACCCCTTGTTTTCATCGATCAAGGGGTCAAAATCAATCAGGAAGTGTACCGTCGGGACATTTTGGAAACTATTGTGCTTCCTTGGGCCCAGCAGCACTTCGGTGATACGGAGTGGACGTTTCAACAGGATTCAGCGTCAGCCCATAGAGCCAAATTGACTCAGGACTGGTGAAAAGCCAATTGCCCGGACTTTATCACATGCAGTGAATGGTCACCTTACTCGCCAGATCTTAATCCGATGGACTAGAGTGTGTGGTCTATTTTGGAGTCCAGGGCATGTGCTTAACGCCACATAAGTTTGGAGGCGCTGAAGCAATCATTGCTCCGAGAACGGGATCGATTATCGGAAGAACCTCTTGCGGCCCATTGCGCCAAATTTCCAGAAACGTTTAGGGCTCTGCATCGCAGCCCAAGGAAGGCACTACGAAACCAGCTGAATATATGTTAACACAATACCTATTTAATAGTTGGGTATCTGCATTTTTTCTCAAATACAGTTCCTTAAAAAGTTATGATCAAAAATGTTTGTCCGGGTTATTTATTGTCACCCTGTAATAAAAAAAACAAGAAAGGAAAGCTAAATTCGGGCGGAGCCGAAGTTTATATACCCTTGCAGTTAAAACCGGATATATATCGCAAACATCGGATATAGTTGGCCGATCCTTATTGGAATATGAATATATAATACAATTTATTACAATACAAAATCTAAAAAAAAGTCCCAAACTTCTATCTTCAAACATACCAAAGTTGGTATTTCTACCAAAAACCATTTCCGATCGTTCAGTTATATGGCACCTATAAGATATAGTCGGACGATCGTTATGAAATTTGGTAGGTCGGATTAACTGACCAAAAATATAATCTCTACCAAGTTCCAGCTTTATATCTTCAAAAACACGAAAGTTGAGTTATTTCCGATCGTTCAGTTATATGGCAGCTATAGAATATCGTCGGCCGATCGTTATGAAATTTGGTAGGTCGGATCAACTGACCAAAAATATAATCTCTACCAAGTTCCAGCTTTATATCTTCAAAAACACGAAAGTTGAGTTATTTCCGATCATTCAGTTATATGGCAGCTATAGGATATAGTCGGCCGATCCTTACGAAATTTGGCATGTCGTATTATTTTGCCAAAAATAGCCCTCATGTAAAATTTGAACTCTCTCACTCCAAAAGTTATTTACACCGAAGTTATACCATTTCCGATCAATCAGTTATATGGCAGCTATAGGATATAGTTGGCCGGTCCGGGCCGTTCCGACTTATACACTGCGTGCAAAGGAAAGAAGGGTGTGTGCAAAGTTTTAAGTCAATAGCCTTAAAACTGAGAGACTAGTTTGCGTAGAAACAGACAGACGGACATGCTCATATCAACTCAGGAGGTGATCCTGATCAAGAATATATATAATTTATAGGGTCGAAGATGTCTCCTTCACTGCGTTGCACACTTTTGACCAAAATTATAATACCCTCTGCAAGGGTATAACAAGAAAGATAAGCTATCTTCGGGCGGAGCCGAAGTTGATGTACCCTTGCAGTTAAAACCGGATATATATCGCAAACATCGGATATAGTTGGCCGATCCTTATGAGAATATGATAATATAACCCAATTTATTATAATACAAAATCTAAAAAATGTCTCAACTTCTATCTTCAAAAATACAAAAGTTGGTATTTTTACCAAAAACCATTTCCGATCGTTCAGTTATATAGCAGCTATAAGATATAGTCGGTTAATCGTAATGAAATTTGGTAGGTCGGATCAACTGACCAAAAATAGATCTGTACGAAATAGAAATACGAAATCTTTACGAAATTCAAACTTTTTATTCTCAAAAACACGAAAGTTGCGTCAATTCCGATCGTTCAGTTATATGGCAGCTATAGGATATAGTCAGCCGATCCCGGTCGTTCCGACTTATATACTGCGTGCAAAGGAAAGAAGGGTGTGTGCAAAGTTTCAAGTCGATAGCTTTAAAACTGAGAGACTAGTTTGCGTAGAAACAGACAGACGGATAGAAAAACATTTTTATATCAACTCAGGAGGTGATCCTGATCAAGAATATATATACTTTATAGGGTCGGAGATGTTTCCTTCAATGCGTTGCACACATTTGGACAAAATTATAATACTCTCTGCAAGGGTATAAATAAAATGTTTCCAAAAAAATTAAATATAATATTAATATTAAGATTTTTTATTGAAATTGAAGGTGTTGGTTGCTTGTTATTAATTTCTTGCAGTTTACTAAAAACATAATTTTTGCTCTGGAGATGCTCTTTTCTTTGAGATATTGGATCATAGTTGGCGGGCCAAATGCCAACCCAATTGAGTTCCTTTTTTCTTTCATTTGCTTCTCTAAACTGGAGTTTGTAAGAGGCGATTGGTATTCCAGTACCCTCCATTTCAGACTGAAGTGGTGTCGTGGTTTCTATGCAAACCAATTCGTCTGCCATGAAGTTGCCTGTTATTTGCCATTTTATAGCCGCTTTGCTTTCTTTTTATATGTTGACTTCGCTCCGTGCAAGGTTTAAAGGATTGAGACTGTTTAGTGCTTTCCTTATTGCTATCACTTCAGCTTGTAAGACGCTGCAGTATTTGGGTTATTCTTAAGGGGTTATATACCTTTTTTATTTAAAAAAAAACGAAAATTTTTTTAGTGGTTTATCTTGAAGAACAACTCCTTGAGAACATTTTCCCAAATTTTCATAGAGATTGGAGCAGTAGAAAAAAAGTTACAGCGCTCCTAACCGCGCGCCTCATTGCGGCCTTGAACTGAACTTGAAACTTTAAACGCGAATATCTCGAAATGGTGTTTCTTGAAAAATGACTTTGCGGTGACAATGATTGACGGAAAACTACTAAACCGATTTACTTCAAATTTTTTTAAAATGTTCGTAATGAAATTCTCTTGTGCTTGAACGATCGACTTTTCACGCGCAAACTTTTTTTCGGCGAAATAAATTTTTAGTAAAATTTCTAGAGACCAAAACGTTCATTTTTAGCATAAAACGCTGCCATATCCAAACAAAAACAAAAATTTTAAAATCGATCGTTCAAGCACAAGAGATTACTCTAAACTAATGAAATTTTTTTACTTTTATGATTTAAGTTGACCTTTTTGACCTGGGGAACTGTCACCGCAAGGCTCTAAAAAAAAAAAGGCCTCTAAGGAAAACAGCCACCCCTTAAAAACTATTCAATATTTTTTCACCAAATTTTGCACAAACATTGTTAATAAAGTGTACTATCAAAATATTAAAACATCCGTGTAATTAAATAATTGCTACATACCTAAAAAAAAATTCAAACTTTCCTCTTTTTCTTCGAAAAAGAAGGTATATAACCCCTTAAGGAGGCTCTTATGGCTTCCTCCTACTTTAATTTCTAGTTTTGAGACTTTATTTTTCCATTCCTTCCTTCCGGGAATGATGATGCTGGAAAGAGTTTATATGTGTTCCTCGGGAGTACCATAGCCTGTGCTGCTAAGAATTTGGGTATTAAGTAAGTAAGCATTAATTAAATTAAGTTAAAGAGTGGAGTGTCCGGTGATGTTTGGGTTCCACTAGTGTGTTTGTCTTAGCCTGACTGTCGCCTCTTTCGCTTGTTCCATACCAGCTAGTTCTGGATTGGATAGGCTTAGTATGGCGTTTAGGGCTGCGTTTCGAGTGGTACTGAGGGTGCCACTGATGCATAGTGCTACCGCTCTCTGAATTTTTTAAAACTTGGTAAACCACATATGGTGGTTTTCTTTTTGAGGGCTGGCCACCATACCAAATATCCGGCAACATCCGCATCCTCCCTCTTCCATGCTACATAGAATCGAGTTGACATCTATGTTCCATAGAAGAGGGGAGAGGACTTCTCCTTGCGTGGTTCCTCTGCTGACGGCCCTTCAGAGGGTGGATGTGCCTAGGGTAGACATCCCTGTCCTGCATATTAGCAATTAATCAATGAGGGATGAAAAGTTGGGAAAATTAAATATAAAGCTTCTATAAATCATAGAAACAAATTTTTCTATGGAAGATTTTTTAGTTCCTTTTGAAATTAGTAGAGCATACCATATTTTAATTTTTGATTAAAGGAAAAGTCCAGTCCAAGTTAAGTTTTTTTTTAAATATTTAATGGTACGGAAGGCTGTTGGTGAAAAAATTATGGTCAAATATCAGCGCGAAATCATGAATTGAGTAATTC